TGTGTTTGTATGTGTGTGTGTGTGCAGGTAAGAGACTCACATCAGGTGTCTACCTTTTTTCTTTTCTTTTAATTCTCTCTCTCTCTCTCTCTCTCTCTCTCTCTCTCTCTCTCTCTCTCTCTCTCTCTCTGAGATAGGGTCTCATAAAGCCAAGGCGAGTGTCAAACTTTCTATGTAGCTAAGGATGACCTTGAACTTCTGATCCTCTTGCCTCTACCCTCCTAGTGCTGGAATGGCAGGAGTCACTGCCATGCTTAGCTTATATAGTGCTGAGGATCAAACCCAGGGGTTCCTGCATGCTAGGCAAACATGCCCCCGACTGAGCTGTGTCCCCTGCCCTCTCCTATTATGATTTATTTTATGTGTCTGGGTGTTTTGCCTCTGTGTGTGTGTGTGTGTGTGTGTGTGTATACGCAGGTGTGTGTACACATTTGTGTGTGTACACATTTGTGTGTGTATACATTTGTGTGTGTATGTGTGTGTATACATTTGTGTGTGTATGTGTATGTATGTGTGTGTATACATATGTGTGTATACACATTTTTGTGTGTATGTGTGTGTGTATATGTTTGTATGTGTGTATGTGTGTGTATGTTTGTGTGTGTGGTTTGTGTGTGTATATGTGTGTGTGTATATATACATTTGTGTGTGTATATGTTTGTGTGTGTGTATGTGTGTATACATTTGTGTGTATGTATGTTTGTGTGTATGTGTGTATATGTGTGTGTGTGTGTGTGTGTGTGTGTGTGTGTGTGTGTGTACCACATGCATGCAGTGCTTAGGAGGCCAGAAGAGGCATTGGATCTTCTGGAACTGGAGTTGAAATGGTTGCGATCCTCCACGTGGATGCTGGGACTGAACCTCGCTCTCTGGAAGAGCACCCAGTGCTCTTAGCCTCTGAGCTTCCCTCCAGTCTCCCTCCACCTTATGTTTTGAGACAGGTACTATTACTAAACTTGGAGCTCACCAACTGGTGAGGCTGACCAGCCACTGAGTTCCACGAATCTTCCACGAATCCACTTATGTCTGCTTCTGCAGCCCTGGGGTGTTAGGCTTTTTAAGTGGCTTCTGGGAATCAGAACTCAGATCTTTGTGCTTGGAAGGCAGACACTTTAGGGCTGAGCCATCTGCCCAGGCCCCTAGAAACCCCATTTTATAGATGGGCAAACTGAGGCCCATGGGGCTGAATTGCTTAGTAGTTAATGAGGTTGAAGCTTCAGCCCAGGTCCTGGTCCAGCGTGCTGGAATCTGCAAGGTGATGCTCACACTGCCTGTCTTATAGTCTAAACTCGGAGACACAGCAGCCTGAGTCCCCACATTCTCAGCCTCATGTTGGACCACTGTCTGTGGGTACAGCTTGCCTTGGCTGTGCAGGATTTGGGGTTCTGTCCTTGTGCCGTGGGACTCCTCGGCTTGCCCGCTCCAGCCACTTTGATGTGGTTGGAGCTCCCTGGCTTTGCATCTGGCCTGCACATGAAGGGGCAGCCTCCAGGCCTGTCCTCCAGCGTCCTATAGAGCGTCTCCACAGCTGCTCGTGATCCCAACACCTTCCGGATCTGTCCTCCTGTGCAAGATCTGCCAGGAGCAGGAGGCGGGTGGGGGACACAGTTCTTGGGGACAAAGGACACTAGGCTCAAAGCTCTGCTTAGGCAGCCAGGCGGGGCTGGCTCCTCACAGCTGCAGGGAAAGCCTGCCAGTGGGCTGAGCTGGCTCTGAGCCCTTGGACCCCCCACTGCCCTGGACCCCCTTAAACACAGCTTATAGAGAAACACTACCCACTTTGGGGATGGTAGACATCTGCTCCAAGAAGACAGTTCTAAACATTCTAAGGAACATCCCTGCCAAGGCCAGCGGCCAGGGTGGGAAGTCATTAGGCTGGACCTGTGCCACACCAGCCATGCAAAGGCCACGGTCTCTGGCCACAGCCCCTCCCTCTGTTTCACAGAGCCCATGGCGAAGGTGCCCATGGGAGGCACTGTGTGACATCAGCCAGTATGCCTGCCTTCTGAAGGTGGAGGGTCTGACTTTGAATCTTGGCTCCCCACCCGGTGGCTGTGTGGGTGTCATTTAGTACCAGAACCCCCGTAAGTCCGTCCGTCTGTCTGTCCCCCGCCCCCCCCCCCCCCCCCCCCCCCCCCCCCGTGTATCTGAGTGTCCCTGGGATTGTGTGACCTACAGGATTGCTCAAAGATCAAGTGTGTACCCTACAAGCTTCTGAGCAAACACTGTCCAGCTGTGCCCAGCCTAGGAGCCGACAATACCAGCTCAGGCGTCCAGGCCTCGAGCTGCAAGCTGCAGGGGGAACCGAGGTTCTCCTGGGTGGCTGAGTGCCTTTGCCCTTGCAGCTGCCGTCACTCAGGGTTTGTTTGCAGAGTCCAGTACGGAAGGAAGGTAGGCTGATGTCAGCCGTGTGCTGGTCAGCTGCACACAGGGCTGAGAGAGCTTGGTTGAGTCCAGCGACGGGCCACCCTCTGCCGCAGCTGGGGCGGCCAGCGGAGCCTTCACTGTGTGAATTCCTCCCATCCTGGTTTATGTGACACTCAGGGGCTGGAAGGAAATGAAAGGCCGAGGAGGGGAGCGTAGCCGGGGAGTTCGAAGCGAGGAGGTGGGGTAGGGTGGAGGTGGGGTGAGGTGGGGGTGGGGTGGGAGTGGGGTGGGAACAGGCGAGTTCTTCCTCTATGAACAGCAACTCAGGACGTATAAAAATGTAACATGGACTTGCTTCCCCCTTTTAATAACAAAAGTCCTTTGAGTGAGTCCCAAGGAAAGCATATAATCTTCATGGGCCACGCACGGCCCTGAACAGCAGCCAGGCTCGTGAGCCAGAGGACTGGGGTCAGCCCTTGTCTCTAGAGTGGAGGCTGTGTAGCCTTGGGCAGGAGGTACGGCCTGTCTGGGCCTCAGTTTCCTCTTCTGCACGGGGCTGATTGGGCAGTGCTGAGAACGTGTGCAGAAGTCCCTGGGCTGGTATGGGGCTCTATAAACGTCAGGTCTCACTAACAGTATTGTTGTGTAACGGCTTGATGTGAGCAAAAGCATCACATTTTCAGTCACTAAGATGTTCAGATAACTTCAGATATATGGCCCGGAAATGACTTTTTTTTGCATGCATGGTGTGTTGACTCCTGTGTGGGGGCAGGTGTGTACATTTGTGTGTAGCGGTCACAGGGCAGTGCCCGCTCTTGGTTCTCACATACCTTCCATCGTTCCTTGGAGATGATTTGTTGTTGGTCTGGCACTATTTAAGGATCCCTCTGCCTCCACCAAGTGCCGGCCGCTGAGCCTGGGAATCGAACTCAGGTCCTCATGCTTGTGAGGTCCAGGCTCCACCCACTGAGCCACCTCCCTGGCCTTCATTCTGAGAGTTGTTCCAGGGGGAAAGACGTGCAGGATGGTCCCAGAGGCTGGGATTCCCTAAATCGGGGTGTTTCTGAAACCTGGGAGCGAGTGCTTTGCTCTGGGACCACACTGTGTTTGACTTCCGGCCTCCACCTACCGTATGCCTCCTCCCAACCTGATTCTGGGCTGAGAGTCTTTGCTGTGGAGGGAAACTGAGGCTAGAAGGCACTATGCTAGATAAGACCTTTGTCTTTTTCTCAAAAACTCCTTAGAAAACCAGAACTGGGCTGAGCCTGAGAAAACACCACAGCAGAGTGACAGATGGACTTTCAGTTTGGTGGCAGCTGAGAAGACTTTGGAACTAAGAATTTACAATCCGTGGCTGGCGAGACTGCTCAGCAGGTAAAGGCCCCTGCCATGAAGCCTGGTGACCTGAGTTCAGTACCTGAGACCCACATGGTGGAAGGAGATAACATGCACAGGCCGTGGTGCATGCGTGTCCCCAGACACACTAAGTAATTAAATGTAACAAATATTTACACCCCAGCGTTCCTGCCCCTTCTCAGCCTCTGCACGTGTGTGACCGAGTCGCATTCTGCCACTGTCACCTGGAACCAGCCTAGCACATCTGATGGGTTCTCCAGCACCTGGGGCCTTCCCTTGGGGATGAATTCCCATCTTCAGTCGCCATCCCCCGTGGTTTTCATCTCCGCTTGCAGAATGACCGCAGCCTTTTATTTACCATCGTCTTGAAATCAACACATCACCACCTCTCCTCTCCTGTCACCGTCAGCCTTAACTTCAGCCGTTGCTTCGAGGCCACAAGCTCCTCGTGCTTCCCTAACACATTAAACACAAACACAGAAAAGGGCGCTGGTGCCTCCTGCTGTGACGAAATGCCTGATGACAGCCACCTAATGGAGGAAGGGTTTGTAGTGGCTCACCACTGGAGGGTGCAGCCCATCATGGTGGGGAAGGCATGGCGGTGGGGCACGAGGCAGCTGGTCACATGACATCCACAGTCAGGAAGCTGCTGGTCACATGGCATCCACAGTCAGGAAGTGACTGGTCACATGGCATCCACAGTCAGGAAGTGACTGGTCACATACATCCACAGTCAGGAAGTGACTGGTCACATACATTCACAGTCAGGAAGTGACTGGTCACATGGCATCCACAGTCAGGAAGCAGCTGGTCACATGGCATCCACAGTCAGGAAGTGACTGGTCACATGGCATCCATAGTCAGGAAGCAGCTGGTCACATGGCATCCACAGTCAGGAAGCGGCTGGTCACATGGCATCCACAGTCAGGAAGCAGCTGGTCACATGGCATCCA